CGCGGCGGTGTGGCGCTTAGCGTTGGCGTTCGGCCGGCGACGGTGGTGCGTGGTCGTCGGTTCTGCTGGGGTGGGGCGGCGAGGTGTGTGAGGTGGGGAAGGGAAAGAGTGGGGAAGAAGAAGGGGAGGGGAAGAAGAAGAAGGGTTTTTGATTTGGGGTTTTGTGGGTTTTAGGGACTTGGAGGGATTTAACAAGGGGTTATCCCCTTAAAGTTTTAAGAAACACTCATGGCTTAGTGGTTGGGACTTGGATTTGTAAATGTGAGGTCTAAAGTTCAATTCTTAATGGTGACATTAGGTATTTCTTGGTGGTGTGGTCCTCCTTTGCCTTTTTCCTTATTTTGTCCTTTAGTGGGGAAAGGGTTGGGTTGATGATATAACTTGTGCTTTATCTTCGTAGTGGAAATTGAAGTTTGACCAAAGATCCTTATTCATAATACTTTCGAAGTAGCTAAGCTAAGTAGACATAATGTTTTCGAAGTATTTAAGCTAAATAGGTGGTCCATACGATACAAGGGGTGATTACAAGGGGTGTGATGGTTTATCCTAGACAGAATTCGTTTTCTGGGTTTTCCTCGGTGGGATCCGTATGGTCCTCGTCTTCCGGGATTGGGTTTTCCCCTTCTAGGTCTTCTTCGTTTCTGAGTTTGGCTTGCGTGTGACTCATAACGAATACTTTTCCGGGAGCGCCGTAACCCCCTTGGTGACTGGTGCCCCCGTGTTGACCCACGGTGGCGGGGCGTGGTCTTTGGGGTCGAGTGCACTGGAAGGCCTTGTGCCCCTCCTCTCCGCAGTTGAAGCATCGCCAGGGGTTACCCGCGCAATCCTTGCCCCTGTGGCTTTTGTTACACCTCGGGCAAGGGAAGCTTCTTGGATTAGCTTCATTGTTTCCCAGGGGTGGCCTTGGGTTGGTCGGGTTGTTCGGCCTCGTGCCGGTGTCGTTCCTCGTTCTTTTCACTGGCGGTGCCCCACTTCCGGTGTTTCTTCTTCGTATTTGTTCCTGAACCCCGCGTTGGAGTAGTTGGATTCGATAGAGGTTCGCGGCACTGGAATAAGCCTCGTTGAGGGTCCGAGGTCTGCTTACCACTAGCGCTTTCCGAGCTTCGAAGTTGAGGCCTGACACGAACCTCTCTATCTTGGTTACCTCGGTGGGGACTAGCTCTGGTGCGAAGCGCGCCAGTTCGAGGAATCGTCTATGGTATTCTATGACGGTGGCCGTTCCTTTTTTTAGATGAAGGAACTCTTCGTACATGGATGCTTTTACGTGGGTTGGATAGAACCTCTCTCGTAGTCGTGTCTTGAGGTTCTCCCAATTGAACCCCGGTTCTTGTTGATAGGTGGGTCCCTCGTGGATCTACCAGAGATCGGCCTCGTGCCCGAAGTAGAACGAGGCTATCTCTACGCGGCGTTCCTCTGGGCATTCCGCTACTCCAAAAATCTTATCAAGCGTCCGGATCCATTCTTCTAGGACCGCGGGATCCTCTTCTCCCGAAAACGTAGGTGGTCGGTGATTTGAGACTTGTCGGGTGACGTCCGAGTTTGCGTTTGATGGAGGCGGTGGGGGCCTATTGTTGCGAAGGGCCGCGTCACTTAGTGCCTGTGCGACTTGTGTTAGTTGCTGCAGGGTTTGGGTCAAGGGGTCGTCGGTGGTGGGCTCTGGAGTTCTGGATTGCCTTCTGTTTGGCGCCATGCTATCGTTTTTCTGGTCAGTGTTTATAAGAATGTTAAGTTAGAGTCTGATGCACTTCTTGTGAAGTGATGAGTGGGGAAGGGTAACGTGTAGAGAAGTTATGTGTAGGTTTTACAATCTCACCGCGCGTCCTAATATTCCTGAGTCCTATGTTCCTAGGTACCTAGAGTTCAAGCCTAATGTCCTAAAGTCCGGTCTTAAGAGTCTTTTCCTAGGGTCAAACTTAGGCTCTGATACCAACTGTAACACCCCAGATTTTCAAGACATTTTAAGCTTATATAGTAAAGGTAATATCTCATTACATCCCAAAGTATATCATAAGTGTACGGGGTGCTATGCCACACCTGGGCTAGAGAACCCAGGTGCACAGGCTGTCTAACTAATATCCATTGAAACACAATGCATAATATGGCACGCAAGCCGAAAGGGAAACTACTCTACTTCTACGCTCCAGTTCTAGCGCGCTCCAGTGCTCTAGTCCTCTGTGCCTGAAAGCCAAATATATCTGTTCAGCGAGAGATGCTGGTAACCCACTCCAACGCGTTGAAATACAATACATATAGAGATATATATAGATATACGAAAACCATTTTGAGCATGAAGATATATCCTACGAACACTAGCTTTAAAACCGGGAATGACTCGACAGATAAAGCTAGACACAAGCACAGTTATAACGAGCATATGCAGTTCACAACAGATAAGGCAGATAAGGCAAAGCATAAACAATGATCATAACCCAACATGAACAATCCCCAATATAAATTCCATAGTCTCATCCCCCAAGACACTCGTAATCACAACTCGTCCAGGTCACAACACATAACACACTTTGTTGGCGCCACAGGACCAATCGCATGCCCATACATGAGGGTCAGCGCATATAGCTCTGACACGGCCCCGCAGCACCCTGCCCCGTATCGCAACACGGAGGGGCCGATCGCAACCGACCGATGAACCGCAGCTCATCATAGTGTTTGATCGCAACCAAACAGTGGACCGCAGCCCAAGAGAATGTCATCTGACCGCAGCCATGAAAAAGGACGAACCGCAGCTCGTATAGAAACGTTTGATCGCAACCAAACGGTGGACCGCAGCCCAAGAGTATCAATCTGACCGCAGCCAGCTTCTGAACCGCAGCTCAGGATAACCAATCCGATCGCAACCGAATTGGGGTAGCACACACATAACACATAGCAAGCACATGCAACCCACATTACACATTAGGAAGGGGGGGAAAACGTATAACAAAACCTATGCGTGATCCACCACTTACTAAGAATAGTCCTAAGGGGTTCATACTTCTTCCACCTAGGTCAACGGGATACCAATTCAACTAGCATGCAATATAATAGACTCATAAACCTACGAACGGTACCCGAAACATCAAACTAGACATAGGCACGATAAACGGAGTCCGTTGGGACACCACGGGGAACGGGGAACATCAAACGGAGAAGCCGGGGTCCCGGGTGGGACAATTTTCCAGCGGGTAGCCGGTGGGTGGGGGCCACCCGCCGGCTGCCCGCCGGATTCTACTGTTCCGGGCAGCGGGTCGCCGGCGGGCAGCTGCCCGCCCGCCGGCCACCCGCTGCCGGGCGGTGTTTTACGGCCATGGGTAGGTGGCGGGTCCCCTACCCCCCACTGACTCTTTTCATCACTTTTCGCCCCGGGAACCGTTGTGGAACCCGAAACCATGCTTAGACACCTTTCAACGCAATTAACGACAACTCGTAGACAATTAACGGATCAAATACGAGAAACGAACGGCACATAACCTATCATGCTTTTCTAAACATAATCAACACCCAAACATGCGATTTCCCCACCCGATAATCCAAGAATAAGATCATACGATACAACCTAGGGTTCTAATCACTTTTATATCAACAAGTATACGGTTCGTCTTCTAATTGCAAGATTCGGTAAGAATAACACATAAACATCAAGAGCATCACACAATTATCAAGAACAACACATAATCATCAAGAATTCCATATAATTATCAAGATCCCCATATAGTCATCAAGAACACCATAATTATCAAGAATCTCCCAATATCAAGATTATCAGGATCCCTCATGGGATCATCACATCAACATCAATAATAATCACTACCAATCATTAAAACACAATAATAAGGGGAAACCCTAAGGGGAAATCGTAACTATAAAAATAGGTTTTGTTGAGACATGGGTTACCTCTTAGCCTTAATTAATTCCTTGGCTATGAAGGATCTTTCTTTAAGCTTCCTTGCTTTCTTGATTTCTCCTAAGGGGATTCTTGGAGCTCTTTTGGGGTGGTGGGGCGTTATTTTTGTGGGAAGTTCTAGGTGCCTCCTAAGTCCCCTATTTATATACTTAGGAGTCCTAATTAGGAACTAATATTATAGGCTCGCTAATTCTATTCCTTTTGGAACTAAGGATTGGGTTTAGGGGTTGGGTTTATATATGAGGGCCCATGGACTATGGTGGGCCTTTTTCCCTAATTAATCATTATGATTTATTCTTTCTCTTGGGCTATTGATTAATTAATTAAATGGTTTTAGGGGCCGTAACACGGGGTGTTACATTAAGATCTAACATTAAGCATACATCCAAGTACTATGAGCCTTACCAAGTCATTGAGAAGGTTGGTCCGGTAGCATAAAGGTTGGACTTGCCAGCCAGTGCACAAATTCACCCCGTATTCCATGTATCTCAGCTGAAGAAGAAGGTGGGAAACTCAGCACCATTGCAATTGGAACCCCCTGTCACAGGCCAGGAAGGTGAAGTCCTTGCTCAACCAATTGCAGCCTTGAATAAAAGGCTTGTTAAGAGGGATAATAAGGCTGTGACGCAAATCTTAGTTCAATGGGCCAATCTGCCTGAAGAAGCTGCAACCTGGGAAGATTTCTATCACATCAAGAGGCAATTTCCTGGGTTTAATCCTTGGGGTCAAGGATCTCCACAAGAAGGGGGTAATGTAACGGTTCAGGGAATTGGTTAAGGGAAATAAGAAGCAAAACGACAACGCATGACTGGGACGGTTAAGGTTGTTGAGAGTCATTGGAAGCCAGAGCCAAAACGCCATCGTTTTAATAAGTCAGCGCAGCGGTTAGAGTCGTTAGTCTCACACGACGTCGTTGTAAGGGCAGTTGTTAGAAGGGATTAAATATCCTAAAATTGTACTGAGCAGTTTAATCGTTTTGTAATGCAGAATTGTTTCTTCTTCAAATCTCTCGTCTCCCTCTCTCTCTCTCTCTCTCTCTCTCTCTCTCTCTCTCTCTCTCTCTCTCTCTCTCCTCTGTCAACCCTAGAAACCATTACAGTTTATCTACAAATTCTGAAGAAACTACAACAGCCCTATGATTATGATACCAATGTGAATGAAGAAGAATTAGCTAACAAGACTAAACAAGTTCTGGGGCCTCTCAAGTATTTCTTTGTACTAGATGATGTTTGGTGTGAAGATGCATTCAATGATATCCAGGATTCTTTTCCAAAGAGCAAAGGTAGCAGAGTCTTAGTCACGATTTGGGAGGAGAAAGTGGCGACGATTGTGAATTCCCTAGGAGAGCCTCACCGGTTGAAGTTTCTAGAGCATAAAGAAAGCTGGGAGCTACTTGAGAAGAAGGTTTTTCGTGAGGAAAGATGCCCCGATGACTTGAAAGAGTATGGTGAAGAGATAGCGAGAAAATGCGATGGACTACCACTGGTAGTAGTGATAATTGCTGGTATTCTGTTAGGCAAATCAAAAACTCGGTTTGAATGGCGCAATGTGGCTAATAGTCTCATCGATTTCCTTAGATGAAATCTAGACAGCTATGAGACGTTAATGCAGTTGAGCTATGACCATTTGCCTGTTGACTTGAAGTGTTGCTTCCTCTATTTGGGAGCCTTTCCCAATGGCAATCATATCCCCGCTGCAAAACTGATGCAGCTATGGATTGCAGAGGGGTTTGTTGAGGAAGAAGGAGTATTAACCATGGAAGTCATAGCGTGTGAAAAGTTGTGTAGTTTGGTTAGTAGGAATCTAGTGATGACAACACAGAGAAAGTCGAATGGTCAAATTAAAACTTGTTGTGTAACACCCCGTGTTACGACCTTTAATCTTGGATTAATTATTTAATTAATCCCGCTAATAATAATTAAATATGACTAATTAAGTTAAGTCCCCCTTTAATTAATTAATGGGGTCCACCATGAACCGTAGACCCTTGCCTAAATTAGAGGCTTAAGTCTATTAGGAATAAAGATAGTAAACCTTTTACCATTCAGATTGTGATTAGGATCCGCTCTAATTAATATGGACCCTTATCCCTAAAGCGAGTCCCTGAATCCTATAAGGAATAGGATTAGTAAACCCATACCATTCAGGCCCTAATTAGGAGTCTTAAATATATATATAAGGAACTTAGGAGACACCCGGAACCCCCACACGCCTAAACGCCCATCACCCCAGGAGAGCTCCAAGAATCCCCTTAGAAGAAATCAAGAAAGCAAGAAAGCTTAAAGAAAGATCCTTCATAGCCAAGGAATTAATTAAGGCTAAGAGGTAACCCATGTCTCAACAAAACCTATTTTCATAGCTATGATTTCCCCTTAGGGTTTCCCCCATATTATTGTGAATGGCGAAATTATGGTGATTATTATTGATGTTGATTTGATGATTCCATGGGGAATCTTGATAATCTTGATAATTGGGAGTTTCTTGATAATGATGATATTCTTGATGATTAATTCGGGATCCTTGATGATTATGTGTTGTTCTTGATGATTATGATGTTCTTGATGATTAATTGGCATCCTTGATGTTTATGTGTTATTCCTACCGAATCTTGCAATTAGAAGATGAATCGTATTCTTGTTGATATAAAAGTAATTAGAACCCTAGGTTGTATCGTATGTTATTATTCTTGGGTTATCGGGTGGGGAAATCACATGTTTGGGTATGGATTATGATTAGAAAAGCATGATAGGTTATGTGCCGTTCGTTTATCGTATTTGATCCGTTAATTGTCTATGTGTTGTCGTTAATTACGTTGAAAAGTGTCTAAGCATGGTTTCGGGTTCCACAACGGTTCCCGGGACGAAAACTTGATGAAAGAGTCAGTGGGGGGTAGGTGGGGGGTAGGGGACCCGCCACCTACCCACGGCCGAGAACACTGTTCCGGCAGCGGGCAGCAGGCGGGCGGGCAGCTGCCCGCCGGCGACCCGCTGCCCGTAACAGTGACTCCGGCGGGCAGCCGGCGGGTGGCCCACCACCCACCGACTACCCGCTGGAATCTTCTCCCCCTCGGGATTCCGGCTTCCCCGTTTGATGTTTCCCCGATCCCCGTGGCGTCCCAACGGACCCCGTTTGTCGTGCCTATGTCTAGTTTGATGTTTCGGGTACCGTTCGTAGGTTTATGAGTCTATTATATTGCATGCTAGTTGAATTGGTATCCCGTTGACCTAGGTGGAAGAAGTATGAACCCCTTAGGACTATTCTTAGTATGTGATGGATCACGCATAGGTTTTGTTATACGCTTTCGTCCCCTTCCCAACGTGTAATGTGGGTTGCATGTGCTTGCTATGTGTTATGTGTGCGTGTTACCCCAATTCGGTTGCGATCGGATTGGTTATCCTGAGCTGCGGTTCAGAAGCCGGCTATAGTCAGATGGGAATTCCTGGCTGTAGTCGGATGACAGTATCCTGGGCTGCGGTCCAGAAGCTGGTTGTAGTCAGATGGGAATTCCTGGCTGCAATCAGGTGACATCTTTCCTGAGCTGCGGTTCAGAGGCTGGCTGTAGTCAGATGGGAATTCCTGGCTACAGTCAGGTAACACACTCTCTTGGGCTGCGGTCCACTGTTTGGTTGCGATCAAACATTATGATGAGCTGCGGTTCATCGGTCGGTTGCGATCGACCCCTCCGTGTTGCGATACGGGGCAGGGTGCTGCGGGGCCGTGTCAGAGCTATATGCGCTGAACCTCATGTATGGGCATGCGATTGGTCCTGTGGCGCCAACAAAGTGTGTCATGTGTTGTGATATGGACGAGTTGTGATTAGGAGTGCCTTGGGGAATGTGACTATGGGATTTATATTGGGGATTGTTCATGTTGGGTTATGATTATTGTTATGCTTTGCCTTATCTGCCTTATCTGTTGTGGACTGCATATGCTCGTTATAACTGTTGCTGGCGTCTGGCCTTATCTGTCGAGTCATTCCCGGTTTTAAAGCTAGAGTTCGTAGGATATATTCTCATGCTCAAAATGGTTTTTTGTATATCTATATATATATATATATATTGCTATATGTATTGTATCTCAACGCGTTGGAGTGGGTTACCAGCATCTCTCGCTGAACAGATATATTTGGCTTTCAGGCACAGAGGATTAAAGCACCGGAGCGCGCTAGAACGGGAGCGTAGAAGTAGTATAGTTTTCCCTTTCGGCCTGCGTGCCATATTATGCATTTATGTTTCAGAGGATAGTAGTTAGACAGCCTGTGCACCTGGGTTCTCTAGCCCAGGTGTGGCATAGCACCCCGTACACTTATGTTACGCTTTGGGATTTAATGAGATGTTACCTTTATTATTAAGTTTTAAATGTCTCGAAAATTAGGGGTGTTACAGTTGGTATCAGAGCCTAAGTTTGACCCTAGGAAAAGACTCTTAAGACCGGACTTTAGGACGCTAGGCTTGAACTCTAAGTACCTAGGAACATAGGGCTCAGGAATCTTAGGACGCGCGGTGAGATTGTGAGACCCACACATAACTCCCCTACACGTTGCCCTTCCCCATTCTAAAACCCTTCCCCACTTATCACTTCACCAGAAGTGCATCGAACTCTAACTTAACATTCTTATAAACACTGACCAGAAAGACGATAGCATGGCACCAAACAGAAGGCAATCAAGGACTCCGGAACCCGCCACCAGCGACCCCTTGACCCAAACCCTACAGCAACTAACACAAGTCGCGCAGGCGTTAAGCGACGCGGCCCTTCGCAACACCAGGCCCCCGCCACCTCCATCAAACGCAAACGCAGACGTTGCCCGACAAGTTTCAAATCACCGACCACCCACGTTTTCAGGAGAAGAGGATCCCGCAGTCCTGGAAGAATGGATCCGAACCCTTGATAAGATTTTTGGGGTAGTAGAATGCCCGGAGGAACGCCGCGTAGAGATAGCCTCGTTCTACTTCGGACACGAGGCCGATCTCTGGTGGATCCACGAGGGGCCCACTTATCAACAAGAACCAGGATTCAATTGGGAGAACCTCAAGACACGGCTACGAGAGAGATTCTATCCAACCCACGTAAAAGCATCCATGTACGAGGAGTTCCTTCATCTAAAACAAGGAACGGCCACCGTCATAGAATACCATAAACGATTCCTCGAGCTGGCAGGCTTCGCGCCAGAGCTAGTCCCCACCGAGGTGACCAAGATAGAGAGATTCGTGTCAGGCCTCAACTTCGAAGCTCGAAAGGCGCTAGTGGTAAGCAGACCTCGAACCCTCAACGAGGCTTACTCCAGTGCCGCGAATCTCTACCGAATCCAGTTACTCCAACGCGGAGTTCAGGAACAAATACGAAGAAGAAACACTGGAAGTGGGGCACCGCCGGTGAAAAGAACGAGAAACGACACCGGCACAAGGTCGAACAACCCGACCAACCAAAGACCGCCCCTGGGAAACAACGAAGCTAATCCAAGAGGCTTCCCTTGCCCGAGATGCAACAAAAGCCACAGGGGCAAGGATTGCGCGGGCAACCCCTGGCGATGCTTCAATTGCGGAGAGGAAGGGCACAAGGCCTTCCAGTGCACTCAACCCCAAAGACCACGCCCCACCACCGTGGGTTAACACGGGGGCACCAGCCATCAAAGGAGTTACGGCGCCCCCGGGAAGGTATTCGTCATGAGCCAAACGCAAGCCGACCTCGGAAACGAAGAAGACCTAGAAGGGGAGAACCCAAACCCCGAAGACGAGGACCATACGGACCCCGCCGAAGAAAATCCCGGAAGCGAATTCTGTCTAGGATGAACCATCACCCCGTGTAATCATCCCCTATATCGTATCGACCACTTATTTAGTTTAAATTACTTCGGGAACGTCATGTCTACTTAGCTTAGCTACTTAGAGAGCGTCATGAATAAAGATTCATTTTTGGTTCAAATTCCAATCCCGCTACACGAGTAAAACACAAGCTACGCCACCCACTCAACCCTTCCCCACTAAAAGACGAAACAAGGAAAAGGACAAAAATCACCTCATCAAGGAATGCCTACTGTCACCATTGGGAATGGAACCTTAGACCTCTCATCTATAAGTTAAAGCCTTAACCACTAGCCCATGTGTGTTTCTTGAAACCACAAGGGAACACCCTCTTAATAAACCCCTCCAAAACCCTTAAACCCACAAAATCCCCAAATCAAAAACCCTTCTTCTTCTTCCTTTCCTCTCCTTCTTCTTCCCCACACCCTCTCCTCCTCCCTCTCGCACACCCCACTGCCCCACCATAGCAGCCACCTCCCATCACCACCGAACGGACGCCGCCACCGCCCGGCCACTCCCCGGTGACGCCGCCCCGCCTCGCCGCCGTCCGGACCAAGCCGCCGGAGAGGACCCGCGACACCGGCACCGCCCGCCTCTCGCCCGGGCACCACCCGCTGCCACGCTCCGTCCAACCCCACTCCAAGCGGCCGCCTCCCCTCGCCGAGCCCTCACCGGAGCCCAGCTCGCCGCCACCTTCCTCGCCCGCGAAGAAAAACGCGCCGCCCACCTCGCCGGCGACTCGCCGGAAACATCGCCGGAAGCCTCGCCGGAAAACCCACCGGAAAAAGTACCACCTATCACAATGCCAAAGAAACCCCTCGGAATCCGCACCCCGGAATGGAACAACGCCGATTACACCGTAATCGGAGGTAAAGCACTTGAACCCGACCAATTTTCTCCGGAATTGGTTGATATGCTTAAATACCAAGGACTTTTAGATACATATCTCACCATCAAAGGGGACACGTACCCCGAATTGGTGAAGGAGTTCTATCAACACCTTGTGGCCACCAAACGGGGTGACAAGGTAGAAATCACCACCAAAGTCCGCGGCAAGGAAATTGTGCTTTCCGAAGGCCGTTTGGCCAAGCTCTTGAAATTGACCACCACGGGTGTGTCCGACTATGACCGGAAAGGGTGGATTGACACCCAAACTACGGGATACAAGGACTATCTCGGGTACTTACTCGGGAAAGAGGACGGATTCACCTCGGCTACTCGACCCAACCGAAAGTGGCTATCGGCGGAGCAAAAGATACTAGTTATGATTATAACCGATAGCCTCTTGCCCACCAATAACAAGAGCAAGGATGTAGGGAGCTTGGAGTGCGCCTTTGCGTATCTCCTAAAACATAAAATCAAGTTCAACCTGCCGGCACTCATGTTAAAACACATAGAGTTTTGCAAAGCAAGCAACCGGCTTAGCCTACCCTACGGGATGATCCTAAGTTGGATCATGGAGAAGAAGGGGGTAGACCTAAGCCACACCGAAGTCAAGACCGCCAATGGCATGGTTTTCAATGCCCAAAACCTCCGCCGCAACGACATCTACTATACCGAGGGAGGACACTATCTCACCCTCGAAGAAATTTGCCAAAAACCCGAGGAGGAACGTAGGGAATTGGTTGATCGGTTGGACATCTCCAACAAAAAGCTCAAGCGGGCCATGCAAGATTGCGGAGGCACGGAAGAGAATGAGGAACAGGAGGAGGATGACGGGCCCGACCCAACAGTGCAACCACAATCCGGAAGGGACCCGAGAGATCAAAGCGAGAGCTCGGTCAATGAGCGCATTCTCGCACAGCTCAACCGGAAAAACCAAATCATGGAAGAAGGGTTCTCATCCTTGATTCGAACCACACGCGCACTCGATCAGAGGGTGGCAGCGATCGAGGCCGCCTTGGGCACTCGTGGGGCGCCCAGTTCCAGCGCAGGAAACCGAGGTACACCCATAACTTCTCTATCACAACGCCACCAAAAGTACAGCCTATCCCAAACTAAGACAAACGTAGGGCCACACTCCTACCCAGGAGGCCAAACTACAGGATGTCTAGGGGTGAAAGGGTGGACTATGACACTGGGCTTCGGGGACGAAGCCCCTTGTAAGGGGGAGAGAGTGTAACACCCCGTGTTACGACCTTTAATCTTGGATTAATTATTTAATTAATCCCGCTAATAATAATTAAATATGACTAATTAAGTTAAGTCCCCCTTTAATTAATTAATGGGGTCCACCATGAACCGTAGACCCTTGCCTACATTAGAGGCTTAAGTCTATTAGGAATAAAGATAGTAAACCTTTTACCATTCAGATTGTGATTAGGATCCGCTCTAATTAATATGGACCCTTATCCCTAAAGCGAGTCCCTGAATCCTATAAGGAATAGGATTAGTAAACCCATACCATTCAGGCCCTAATTAGGAGTCTTAAATATATATATAAGGAACTTAGGAGACACCCGGAACCCCCACACGCCTAAACGCCCATCACCCCAGGAGAGCTCCAAGAATCCCCTTAGAAGAAATCAAGAAAGCAAGAAAGCTTAAAGAAAGATCCTTCATAGCCAAGGAATTAATTAAGGCTAAGAGGTAACCCATGTCTCAACAAAACCTATTTTCATAGCTATGATTTCCCCTTAGGGTTTCCCCCATATTATTGTGAATGGCGAAATTATGGTGATTATTATTGATGTTGATTTGATGATTCCATGGGGAATCTTGATAATCTTGATAATTGGGAGTTTCTTGATAATGATGATATTCTTGATGATTAATTCGGGATCCTTGATGATTATGTGTTGTTCTTGATGATTATGATGTTCTTGATGATTAATTGGCATCCTTGATGTTTATGTGTTATTCCTACCGAATCTTGCAATTAGAAGATGAATCGTATTCTTGTTGATATAAAAGTAATTAGAACCCTAGGTTGTATCGTATGTTATTATTCTTGGGTTATCGGGTGGGGAAATCACATGTTTGGGTATGGATTATGATTAGAAAAGCATGATAGGTTATGTGCCGTTCGTTTATCGTATTTGATCCGTTAATTGTCTATGTGTTGTCGTTAATTACGTTGAAAAGTGTCTAAGCATGGTTTCGGGTTCCACAACGGTTCCCGGGACGAAAACTTGATGAAAGAGTCAGTGGGGGGTAGGTGGGGGGTAGGGGACCCGCCACCTACCCACGGCCGAGAACACTGTTCCGGCAGCGGGCAGCAGGCGGGCGGGCAGCTGCCCGCCGGCGACCCGCTGCCCGTAACAGTGACTCCGGCGGGCAGCCGGCGGGTGGCCCACCACCCACCGACTACCCGCTGGAATCTTCTCCCCCTCGGGATTCCGGCTTCCCCGTTTGATGTTTCCCCGATCCCCGTGGCGTCCCAACGGACCCCGTTTGTCGTGCCTATGTCTAGTTTGATGTTTCGGGTACCGTTCGTAGGTTTATGAGTCTATTATATTGCATGCTAGTTGAATTGGTATCCCGTTGACCTAGGTGGAAGAAGTATGAACCCCTTAGGACTATTCTTAGTATGTGATGGATCACGCATAGGTTTTGTTATACGCTTTCGTCCCCTTCCCAACGTGTAATGTGGGTTGCATGTGCTTGCTATGTGTTATGTGTGCGTGTTACCCCAATTCGGTTGCGATCGGATTGGTTATCCTGAGCTGCGGTTCAGAAGCCGGCTATAGTCAGATGGGAATTCCTGGCTGTAGTCGGATGACAGTATCCTGGGCTGCGGTCCAGAAGCTGGTTGTAGTCAGATGGGAATTCCTGGCTGCAATCAGGTGACATCTTTCCTGAGCTGCGGTTCAGAGGCTGGCTGTAGTCAGATGGGAATTCCTGGCTACAGTCAGGTAACACACTCTCTTGGGCTGCGGTCCACTGTTTGGTTGCGATCAAACATTATGATGAGCTGCGGTTCATCGGTCGGTTGCGATCGACCCCTCCGTGTTGCGATACGGGGCAGGGTGCTGCGGGGCCGTGTCAGAGCTATATGCGCTGACCCTCATGTATGGGCATGCGATTGGTCCTGTGGCGCCAACAAAGTGTGTCATGTGTTGTGATATGGACGAGTTGTGATTAGGAGTGCCTTGGGGAATGTGACTATGGGATTTATATTGGGGATTGTTCATGTTGGGTTATGATTATTGTTATGCTTTGCCTTATCTGCCTTATCTGTTGTGGACTGCATATGCTCGTTATAACTGTTGCTGGCGTCTGGCCTTATCTGTCGAGTCATTCCCGGTTTTAAAGCTAGAGTTCGTAGGATATATTCTCATGCTCAAAATGGTTTTTTGTATATCTATATATATATATTGCTATATGTATTGTATCTCAACGCGTTGGAGTGGGTTACCAGCATCTCTCGCTGAACAGATATATTTGGCTTTCAGGCACAGAGGATTAAAGCACCGGAGCGCGCTAGAACGGGAGCGTAGAAGTAGTATAGTTTTCCCTTTCGGCCTGCGTGCCATATTATGCATTTATGTTTCAGAGGATAGTAGTTAGACAGCCTGTGCACCTGGGTTCTCTAGCCCAGGTGTGGCATAGCACCCGTACACTTATGTTACGCTTTGGGATTTAATGAGATGTTACCTTTATTATTAAGTTTTAAATGTCTCGAAAATTAGGGGTGTTACAGTTGTGTTCATGACATGTTGCTCCAATTCTGCAAGAAGGAAGCTAAGGGCGAAGGCCTATTCAATGAAATCAATGAAATTAATGTCAGGAATCAACAGGATGTCTGTCGTCGACTAAGCGTTCACTGCCCTTTTAAGGAGTTCGTTTCTTCAAAGCAACATCCAGAACATGTCTGGTCCTTATTATGTTTTGCCTCGAATAGAGTTGAGATGCCTCCAGAAATCATTCAATCACTCCGCAAGGCCTTTCCATTGCTGAGGGTGTTGCACTTTGCACCAGATGAATCTGTCATTTTCACGCGTTGCCATAGAGACTTTTCTCGGTTATTTCATCTTAAGTACATTGCTATCTCAACTACACTCAAAGTCCTCCCTACCGAGATTGGGAACTTGCAAAATTTGCAGACTCTTATAGTTAGGACAACGGAGAATACTCTTAAAATTAAAGGTGACATATGGAGCATGTCAAGGTTAAGGCATTTTCAAACCAACTCTTCTGCCGAACTTCCTTCCCCTTCTGCTCCGAAGACTAAGGATGATCCCTTTCCAAATCAAAACTTACAAACCCTTTCCAAGGTTTCACCTTTAAGCTGCACGGCTACTGCACTTGCCAAGGTCCCAAATCTCAAGAAATTGGGCATTCGGGGGACTTTGGCTAAACTATTGGAGACAGATAAAAAGAGTGGATCTAGTTTGTTCAAAAACCTCAGAGAGTTTAAGTTGTTGGAAAATCTAAAGCTGTTGAATGACGGGGAGGAACTACAACACCTTCCTCAGAAGTATGAATTTCCAGTGAACCTAACAAAGCTGACCCTGTCAAAGACCTCTCTCCATTGGAGAGAATTGGCGGTATTGGGAACACTTGAAAAACTTGAAATCCTCAAGTTGCATGAGCATGCAGCTGTAGGAGAGTGTTGGGAGCCAATCATTGGCGGGTTTCTTTGTCTTCAGGTCCTGCATATTGAGAGGATTGACTTAAGATACTGGAAAGCTTCAAATAAACACTTCCCAGGACTCAAGAGCCTTGTTCTTAGGCACTGTGAGAAGCTCGAGGAGATCCCACCTGTCCTGGCAGATATAAGCAATCTTCAAGAGATAGACGTGAACCACACCAAGAAGGCAATCAAGTCTGCACAGAACATACTCAAGCGGAAACAACAGAAACAGGACCCAACTGAAAAATGCACCCGCAGATTCAAGCTCACTATCTACCCTCCACTGGATCCTTCTCAACAAAGCTAGCTTTGCCAGGTTAGTCTAAGTATATATATTGCTTCTCCTTTTATTACTTAATCATGTTTATATTGCATTATTTTTTCCAAGTCATCTGGGAAATCTGTTGTTACTAATTGCCTTCTGTTCTGTATATTTAATGCAGTAGTGCTAGAATTCATCAGCCCACTTTGAATTCTTGAAGTTAATTGTTACAATCAGAGCATTGAAGGGTTATGATGTTTGGGTGTTGTTGATTTATTCCTGGTTCAAATACTTCCACGCATTTGAGTGTGTGGCCGGGAAGCTTCATAGGCAATTGTTATGCCGTGCAACCGTGTGTACCATTCTTGGTACACACGGTTGAAAACGGCACCGTATAGTACTAAGGGAGTAACGGTGACGTTAGCGGCACCATTTCACTCCTCCGATCGTTTAAAAAAAGTATATATATATTATTATTATTACCATAAAGCACCACTAGGCGCCTTTTTCCACCTTTTCCAACATTTCGTCTCCAACAAGCTACAGAGCTTCTTCGCACTGTTTCAGTCTTTATCGCTCTCTCGGTCTACTCGAAGTCACGATTTTCGCCATCTTTATCTCATTGTCGCTGAGGCCGTGTTTTGTTCACCATTATCGCCATTTTCTCCGTTTTCATCCAAGCATTGTCGCATTGTCGCTATTTTCATCGCTTTCTTCCTCAGGTATAATGTATTTTTGTGATTTTTGACTGTTAACGTTCATATTCGCTATAGATTTTTGTGATTTTTTACTAGGGTTTTGCAATGCGATTTTGGATTTTTCTCAAACATAGCAATACTCTGTTTTTTTTTTGGTGTTTTTTGAAATGTTTGTGGACATATAGTGATGATATTATGTATATATAGCTTTATAAATGTGAATGTGTAGTTTAATACTTATGCACGTATGAAAATATCATTCCTGTCTTCAATTAGGGTGTTTTTGAAATGTTTGTGGATAAATAGTTGTGATATTATGTATATATAGCTTTATAATTGTGGATGTGTAGTTTAATATTTCTGCATGTATGAAAATATCATTCCTGTCTTCAATTAGGGTGTTTTTGAAATGTTTGTGGACGAATAGTTGTGATATTATGGATATATAGCTTTATAATTGTGGATTTATAGTTTAATACTTCTGCATGTATGAAAATATCATTCCTATCTTCAATTAGGGTGTTTTTGAAATGTTTGTGGACAAATAGTTGTGATATTATGTATATATAGCTTTATAATTGTGGATGTGTAGTTTAATACTTCTGCATGTATGAAAATATCATTCCTGTCTTCAATTAGGGTGTTTTTGAAATGTTTGTGGACAAATAGTTGTGATATTATGGATATATAGCTTTATAATTGTGGATTTATAGTTTAATACTTCTGCATGTATGAAAATATCATTCCTGTCTTCCATTAGGGTGTTTTTGAAATGTTTGTGGACAAATAGTTGTGATATTATGGATATATAGCTTTATAATTGTGGATTTATAGTTTAATACTTCTGCATGTATGAAAATATCATTCATGTCTTCCATTAGGGTGTTTTTGAAATGTTTGTGGACAAATAGTTGTGATATTATGTATATATAGCTTTATAATTGTGGATGTGTAGTTTAATACTTCTGCATGTATGAAAATATCATTCCTGTCTTCAATTAGGGTGTTTTTGAAATGTTTGTGGACAAATAGTTGTGATATTATGGATATATAGCTTTATAATTGTGGATTTATAGTTTAATACTTCTGCATGTATGAAAATATCATTCATGTCTTCAATTAGGGTGTTTTTGAAATGTTTGTGGACAAATAGTTGTGGATGTATAGTTTAATAATTCTTATTTACATAAATGGCACGCGAACCTGCACTGGGTGAAGCTCTTAGAGAAACAAAAAGAAGAAGAACAGGGTACCTGACAGCAGCAGTCCTAAATTCACAAGCAGCTCAGAGCTCTAATCCTACTAATGAAGAACCAGTAGCAGTCCTAAATTCAGAAGCAGCTCAGAGCTCTAATCCAACTAATGAAGAACACCCTGCTAGGCAAACAACCGTTACAGAGACTTCAACGAGAGGGCGCCAAACTTCGCGCAAAAGACGCCAAGCACCACAGACTAGAGAAAAAAGGGGAGATTAATTCAGTACGAGGATTGGGCCAAAGTTGATGTTTGATCTTGTCCAGAGGCTCTCAACACAGCAGAAACAAGCTGTGGTTGATATTGGATTTGGTGGACTTCTACATCTCCAACTCTGCACCAATAAATCAAAGTTGGTGCAATACCTGCTGGACAAATTTAATGTTTTAAGGTGTGATTTTGTATTAGAGGATGATATTCTCCACATTGAAGAGGTAGATGTTGAATACACGTTGGGAATCCCGCGAGGGCGTATGGAGGTCAATGAGGGAACAAAGATGGAAGACAACTCAACCCGTGAATACAAACTGCTGCTGACTTCATGGAGAAGGAGGTGGGGTATTGCAACAGGCTCACCAATAACAACACAGATGCCAGATGAGATTGTTAGGAGAGCTGATCATGGTGATGAGTTCAAGAGGGATTTTGTAGTCTTTGTCGTTTCCTCCATGCTTCGAGGAAACACACACGCTACTCCAAGTGCAGAATCTTAAAGTCATTGATTCATGTTGATATGATTAAAGAATACAATTGGTGCGGCTACACATACAAATCTCTCATTGACTCGATAGAGAATTAAAAGGAAGATAGAAGCAGAACCTGTTGGGGGCCAATGACAATGATATTGGTCAGTTCTTATTGTCTTTAATCTAATTGCATGAATTTTATGTAGTTGTAGATGTATAATTAACAATTTATTATGGATATATATGCATGAAGCTTGGAATATACTCAGTTTATTAAGATCCTTTATGTAGTTCTGAATTTGTAGATATATAGTTTTAAAATGAGTGAATTCCATTTTTGGTCCTACTGTTATAGGGGTGTTTCCAATTTCAGTCCACTTTAATTTTTTTTGCCACTTTACAACCACTGTTATTGAATGTGTTCCACTTTTAGTCCACCGTTAATATTTCTGTCAAGAGGCCGTATAATCAAAGGGTATTTTGGTCTCTTTATGTTTGTCTCTTCTCTTTTAATCCAGAGGCTTCGTCCTCCTCCACCGATATTCGAAGATGGCTCTTCGAACAACGAGAATGGGAAGCCAAAGCTACATCGTTTCGTTCGTTCCAACATGGGCCGGCGAGGTTTCTTAGGTTTTAGGTTTAATGTTCTCATTTCTTTAGTCAAACATAGTCTTGGATGATAAGAAAGGTCAAAATACCCATAGATTACACGGCCTCTTGATGAAAATACTAACGGTGGGACTAAAAGTGGAATACATTCAATAATAGTGGTTATAAAGTGGCAAAAAAAATTAAGGTAGACTAAAATTAGAAACGCCCCTATAACAGTAGGAGAAAAAATGGAATTCACTCTTTTAAAATTGTGGATATATAGTTATGTGATTATGGATATATATTACTCTGTGAATATATGAATGTATTACTCTGAGAACAAAAAGTTAAGAATTATGTACATATAGTAATGTATTTTAGGATATATAGTTATGATTTTATGGATATATATGAATGAAACTTGGAATATACTCAGTTTATTAAGATATGAATGTATATTTTTGAATTTGTGGATATATAGTTTTAAAATTATGGATATATAGTTATGTGATTATGGATATGTAGTACTCTGTGAATATGAATGCATTACTCTGTGACCATGCAATTAAGAATACATGGGTAAATTATTCTAAATTGATCTTTAACATAATCTTCTGTAATTTGTAGCTGTTCTACTTTGATTGAGTAGAATTCAAAGGAATGAAGGTCAACAGGACATACCCTAGCATACTTGCTTGGACGAGCACTCTTGTAAGAAAGAGAGTCAAGGCTGAAAAAAAGGCTGGGGGTTTGGAAAGGGAAAGGTTGTTCCTAGGGTTAAGAAGCCAAGGACTGCTGCTACCACCTCACTGCAACAACCTGCAAGCACTGCTGCTGCTACAACCTCATTGCCACAACCTGCATTTACTGCTGCTGCTACCACCTCACAGGCTACTACTTCTTCTACTCCTGCTACTGCAACACCGACACCACCTACAAATGAGCCACTCTCAAGTGTCGACCGGGTGACTCGTGTGCTCCAAAAGCTAGCATCAAATATTCTGGAGTTTGGTGAAGCTATGTCTGAAATTGGAAAGCAGGGCGCACCTATTGAAGTGATGAAGAAAGCATTCTCAGGGATATCAAACATGCTAGGTGCTGCAAGTGCAATTGAATCAACTTCCGTTCCAACTGAATCTCAGTTGGATGACATATTCTTTGGGAGTGAAACCTTCACAGCTGCAGTGGATTCGTTGGTGTAAGCGTTTCAGAAGACAACAAGAACCATGGAATTTGAAGCTCCATCATTAGATTTGGGAATACACAGCAATGAATCCCAACCGCAGCCACATGAGCAAGAAACAGAGCAAGTAGTTGAAGAGGAACAACCATTGGATGTTTTGGTTCAACAAATTGGAGAAGATGCAGGACTGTCAACGCCCTTGGGAGCAGAAGTAACTCCTCCACTTGTTAGAGTCCCATTTCAAAGATATGTTCATCGTGCCCCTGCTGCTGATGCTGATGTTGATGACTTTGATCGGTAAATTGACAGTTTGTTATTTACATTTAGCTTTAACGTTATGAATTTATAGTTCTAAGATTATGAATATAAAATTATGAACATTTTTACAACTGAACATATAGCTTTGGAATTGTGGATAATAAAATTATGAACATTTTATATCTGTGAATGTATAGTTCTATGATTATGGACATATAGGTTTAATATTATAGATATGAAGTTCTAACACTGTGGATATATAAACAACAGTGCCATGCAAGAAAGTGAGTCTGATGTTGAGGACGTGACTGTTAGGAAGAGACCCTAGTGACGATTCAGGAACAAACCTCTTTGTCTGAGGTCACCATACTGGACACAGAATGCAGGTTTTATACGCACTGCAACTCCACGGGAAAAAATCATCTCAAACTATGCATTCTTGAGTGTGTCTAACGAACACCCAGAAGAGTATGTTTGAACACGTATATTCATAGCAAACTTTTAATTACTTAGATAGTTCATATTATTATTATTATTGTTGTTATTATTATTATTATTATTATTATTATTATTATTTTG